CGTGTGCTCTTCCGATCTTCAGCGAAAAACTGAGTCTTCGCGCAGGTATCGCCGCGCAACTTTTGTTTTGGGTTGGATCCAATGAAATGTAAGACGATAGGAACGTACATACATATGTGCAGACAATTTATAAGCAAATACATCAGAAATTTTCTTTAGTGATCACTCCTACGAATAATTGTTACTAATGAAACGTTTTATTTGATTGACACATTGAATTTATTGATTTACTGTATCGAATCCATATTATTACTTATCTGTTTTATTACTTGTGAGGCACTTTTCTCAATTCGATCCTGGATTTAACATGGTGGATGCTCACGTGATCTGGAAAAGGAGATCAAAGGCACCGACACGAAGTGGACCTACTGGTTATACTGTGGTTGTAACCGGAATCAATGCCCGTTTCTATGAAATCGACAATATGATAATCCCTCTTGATATGACCATCGGTCTCTCAATTAAGCTTTGGAATATTTCAAAAATTTAATCGATCAAAACTTGTTTTTCTGTTTTACTCCACCCACCGGCCAGTGGATTATAGCATCTTTAACCTTTTTGCAAGGTTATATAGCGCTCCGACTAAAACATGCATTCAAAACTAAGGTTACATCGGCTGGCTGTCAAAACACACTTACACTTTACTGACGCAGCTTAGTCATGGACGTAAAAATAATTAAGAACGAAACGTGGACTCTAAAATCGGACCCCAGGCATTAATGGCACGAACTGTACATACAAGCAAGACATAAGACTAGGGAATTTCCTTAGTTCGGTCATGCGCACTCTATTTTGGCCAACACTGACATCAAAGGTGCCGGAGAGTTGCGCTACTATATACTGTGCTATAGACTATATAAACTCTTTGGCTATAGATGTAGGTCATGTAGGTATTCCTATCCGCCATCTTGGTTCCAGCTAAGTGGATAATGTAACCCCAAGTTTGCTCAACAATAAAGTTAGAAATTAATAATTATTAAAATTTTTTGTTTTATTATTACAATTTACTGCAACGCAGCAAAGCATCTTGATTGTAATGTACATTTACTTCATCAGACATTACTATAAACTCATCATTTATTAGTTGCTTTCCATTTACACCAAAATTCAGGTAATTCTCATTTGTAACGTCGTAACTCAGTTGAATGTATGTACAGGGAGGTCAAAACTTTTACCGGTGTTGCGAAAAACGCCGGGATGGCCGCTCTCATGTTTCTCTCTGGTCACGAAATGACGAATCCAATTTTGATTGGTGCCGGCATTTTTCAGCAAAGACCGGAAATAGCCATGGTCAAATGACATTATCAATTAATATATTATTATTAATTTTTTTATCTACTAAATTTTACAAAAAACACTTTAATAATATATTTTGACATTTGTATTTAGATGTCCATGTGTCTATAGGTTAATATATGTCATTTTGTAACGCATGTCATTTTACAACACAGTTAACATGGTTAATATAATAGTGTGATAATGTTCGCTTTTTCCGGTTTTTGCTGAAAAATGGCGTTGCTCGACCTAACTTTCCTGCGTTATTTCGCGACTCTGATTAGAGGGTCTCTAGTATAGTGGGTAGCAGATGGTCTAGTTACAACTTACAATTCGTGGCAATCGTGCGAATGAATCGGCAGCCATTTTTAAACTGCCTTCTTACTATACAGTGTATGAAAAGGATATGGATAATGGGCCTCGCGTTACGAGACGGTAATTTTAAACGAATGAGATTAAATGGAGCGTGAATATTAGCGTGGAGGAGCAAGGATAGGACGTGAGAGAAAAAGAGAGAGAGGTGGAAGAAATAACGTGACGACGGAGCGTGTGATCGCTGCCGTCGCCGCCGCCGCCGCCGTCGTTGTCGTCGTCGTCGTCGTCGTCGTCGTCGTCGTCAGCGGACAAGCAGACGGTCGTCGGCGAGAGCAGAGGATTCGTTGTTTAACCACGAACGGATGGACTGATGTCGTTCGAGCAAACGCACTCTTCCTCGCGGGATTAATACAATGGTGAACTGTTAATAATTTAACGGTACGAAATATGCCATTGAGCGCTGTCTCTTATTGTCCGCAGGAGCGAGAGCGCGTGGTGCGGCTGACTACGATCGGTTGCTTAGTTAAAATCGAATCGGCGAGATAAGGGAGATAGAAGGAAGGAAAGAGAGAGAGAGAGAGAGAGAGAGAGAGAGAGAAAGTGGGTGAGTGAGTGAGGAAGAGAGGGAGGGGAGAGAGAGAGAGAGAAAAAGCCTGAAAAGATACATCCGGAAGAGTGGTGTCTCCGAGCGTGTGCACGACGATGTTGATTCTAACATGCGAGAGAACGAATGCAGCTCTCGTACATTAAGTTCTACATAATAATGGCAGACAATGTGCACAGAAAATCGCACAGGCTATCAGATGGTAGTAGAAAGGTGTCGAATCCCGTGCACCGCACGACCACGGAGACAATTCGTTTGGGCGGCGAGGTGGACAGCAGGCATCACCAGCCGGTAATCGCACCGAGTGGCGGCGGCGGCGGCGGCGGCGGCGGCGTGCAGGCCTCGAGCGGCAATCAGTGCAATCGGAAGAAGACGTCGTCCTTCCAAATAACCAGCGTCACCGTAGGCTGCCGCATGAGCAATGACGCCGGCGAGGATTCCAACGACGACCTCGATGAGTCGCATACGGAGGACAATTCTGTGGAGCACTCGCGCATCACCGATCTCGACATCGAGACACCGAGCTACTCCGAGGACACGTTCTCCAAGGAGGATGTGTTCTTCAACACGAGCAACGCCGCCCTCAGCACGGCCCCGGTGATCCCGACCAGCTCGCAGTATGGCCTGGCAATCGTGCCGTCCGAGGGCGGCAACGTTAGTAATTCGGTCAACGACAGCAATATCAATACTCTGGACATTACGTCCGTAACCGATAAGCAGGACGCCGATCTGCGCGAGGTGCACTCCCACGGCAGGAACGAGAGATTCAAGGTGGTGAAGATCGAGAGCACGGAACCGTTCAAGAGGGGACGATGGACCTGTATGGATTATCTCGATCACACGTCCGTCAATCAGCCGACGGCCATCGGTACGCCGAAAGTGTCCGATCCGAACGAGGTGTGCATATCGTATGGTGTGACTGACAGTGGGATCGTTATACCGGAAACCGCGAAGCAATCCGTAGTGACTGACGATAAAGGGATTAGTATTGACGCCAATGGCCCGGTGTCGTCTCACCCGGACACGGTGCATTCGTCGATCACCGTGCCGAGTAATCCCGCGCAATCGAGTGCGAGCTATGCGGTAAATAATTCAATACCTCCCAATGTACAGCATAATCCTACGCAAGTTCAGACCCAGGCTAAAGTGCAGCAGCCGCCACCGCCATCCGCACAGCAAATCCCGCAATATTTTCAATCGCAGACTCAATCGATAGCTACCCAGCAGCAGCAGCAGCAACAACAACAACAGCAGCAGCAGCAGCAGCAACAGCCTCCGCCGCCGTCGCAGCCATCGCAAGGTGGTCAAGGTTCTACGTTACCCGCCAACTTGCAGGCCACTCATCCCAACAACATGGGGCAACCTCAGAGTATGCCTCAAGGCTCTATCTCTATTATAACGCAGGCTAGTAATAGCGCGGTGACCCCTCAGCCGAGTATACCTCACTCCAAGGAGGAAGCTTACGTGACGGTGAGCACGCAAAATCAATCCCTGCCGGTCCAGAATGTCTGCCAAGCGACGGTACAGCAAACGTCAGCTCCGACTTCACAGGCTCCAAACATTCTCGTCACGCAGCATCAGCAGCAGCAGCAGCAGCAGTCGGAGGCGGCTACCTGCCAGCAGCCCCTGCCGACGCAGAAGCCACAGATGACGCAAATCTCCGAGCCACTGACTGCCATACCTGGGATACAAGGCATGCAAAATATTCATAAGGTACCTCAGGCGGCCGGAACGCCGCAACAGACGTCGTCGACGATCCATCCCGCTGGAGCGCCTGTACAGTCGCAAGTGATTGCACCCTCGACGCAGCAGTTGCAGCCGCAAACGACGAACGGTAATGCCCCAACGGTGCAGATCGCGCAAGTGACCGCCGCCGGCTGTCAGAGTGTCGTGGGCGGGCTGCAGCAGGGGAACATGACGTTTCACCAGTCCGATCCGGAGCAAGAGTCCATCTCCGGCATCGTTGCTAACGCAACCACCATTCAGTCGGCCGATGCGACTCTTCTCGAGTCATTGGCTGAGGTTACGCAGAGCAGCGACGAGCACCGCGCTCTCGAAGATAACGAAAGGTACTCTCGTAATTTGAGAAAAAAACGTATATATAATTACGATATGCAACGGACTTTCAAATATTTTGTATATCGCCCTTTAGATCATACGAGTATAATTTTCTTACTCGCATGTGTTTGTTGTAATTGAAGAAATTTATATGAATAAATCTACATTGCAGTATGTCGGGGACGAGCGCTGTGGCGATTGATAACAAGATCGAGCAGGCCATGGTAAGAGAATTGCTGTAATAAAGTCATATATTGCTCATTACTTTGATGGATGATAACGACGAACTGCAATCTTTTGTAATCTTTTTCTAGGATTTAGTTAAAAGTCACTTAATGTTCGCGGTACGGGAAGAAGTCGAGGTGCTGAAAGAGAAGATAGCCGAGCTTATGGATCGTATTAATCAATTGGAAGCGGAGAATTCAATATTGAAAGCACACGCGACTCCAGATACATTGGCGCAATTGAGTCAGTCGACAGCAAAATTACCCCAAAACAATTCAGGAAGTGGTCAATAGGTAACCATTGTACATAAGTTTCTATCGATACTTTGTCAAGTAAATAATGGAAATAATATAATTATTGTATATAACTTTACGATTTTTAGAAATTTATAAATAATGAGATTTATTATATATAAATATATATTAGCATTAGACACACATTTTTTTAAGTAAACTAAAGATAATGGATTATTTTTTACTATTTCAGTTTACCGTTTAGGAAATATATTTAAAATCGTAAATTCGAGCCTTCCCTCTTTTTCAAAATCATTTTGAAGATATGTCTGTTGTTATTCTAGCGCGCGCGAGAGAAAGAGAGAAAGAAAGAGTAAAACATATATGGATGTATGCCAAGACTAAGTAGTGCTAATATGACAGAGTTGACATTATGTTATATTAGAAATATAATTTTCAAACATTAAAAAAACCACGTTAAAAAAAGTAACAGTACGGCAGGATAGGCAGTTTGACATTCCGAGATTATTTTTCCCATTGTTTTAATATTTAGCTAATTTAAATTACAGATTTGATCGAACATATTTGGCAAGATAAATGAAGATTAATATTTAACATTTGTCAAGTATCGCTTATATATTATGACATTTTAACTTTTAATAATTTTCCAGTCTTCTTTTCTATGTTGACTGAAATAGACATTGATGATAAATTCTGCCAACGTTTATCATTTTCGAATATCAAATCTCATATTTTATAATCTGATCTATGTGTAAACTGATTTTTAAAATTATATGTATATATATATATATATATATATATACATATAATTTTAAAAATCAGTTTACACATATATATAGTAATTCACATTAACGAATCAATATCCAAGGAACTTATTATTGATGCATAAAGAAAAGCTGCAATTTCCTGTCATCTTTTGTTACATTTTAAACATGCCTAATAAAAATTTTTAATTGTATCAAGATTGTGAAAATTTTTGGTAAATTTTTTAAATAATTTTTTTAGGAAGAAAGATACGTTATATATTTTAAATATGTCATATGTGAGGATACAATACGATTATATATGAAAGAAATAAGAATGAAACTATCATTAAATCTATTTGAACAGAATATATGCAAAAAACAAAAAAAAATCTCGTGTAAACTAAAATTAAAATTAGGCGAATAAAATTTCACACTCTATATGCTTTTAAAAATTTTATTTGTTTACTAAGAGAGAAAGAGAGAGAGAGAGAGAGAGAGAGAGGGGGGGGGGGAAGGACTAAATATGACACTTTATATAACGTAAAGCTTTACGAAGATGCAAATTTTTTTTAGGAACAAAAAATCATAATCCGTAAATTACACCTTATAAATTTATAAATGTTAAAAATTGTTTCTAAAGGAGAAAAAAAAATAACAACGTACAACTCCGGGTTTTGTATCATCAATAATGTGACTTAGCCTTGTATGCGTACAAGCACAGTCACAGAATTAAGTTCATACAAACCCAAAGTTCTTTGATTTAATAGCGAGAAGTAGCTTGTGTCGCAAGACATGACGGGAGCTGTACAGTGGAACGTATAGTCGGGAGATACATGTGTTCGCGGTTGGTAGATGTGCGTCATCCGCCGGTCGAATTGTCACGGTCGGCATCGGTTGGAAACCATCCTCGCTTGCCGGTAGCGCGGGAGAGCCGGTCCAGAAGTATACCTGCGATGGCGATGCACACTCATGAGTGTTAATTCGTTAGAATTGCCGGCTCACAAAAGTTCACATAGCTCTCAACTAGGAGTAAGCAACGAGTGGTCTGCAAGAATTCTTACCAAGTCCTGCCTCTCCACGTGTGACATCTTTTCAACGATGGACCATAACCAACGTTTAAATTTAACTAATCTCTCCGTCGATTCGCCGGACTCGTCGTTAAATGATGTATATGATATTAAGACCGACACATTGATGTCGCCGACTCCGTTCAGAAGGAGTCTCAAATCTTCCGATGTTAAACCATCGAGCGCCCCTTCGGGAAGGACGTCAAAAACTCCCTCACGCATAGAATGCAAAGCTTTCTCTTGCACTTTGATCATACGGACTTCTGCATACTTCCGTACATAATCATACACATTGCTTGCAGTCACTTCCATGTCGCGGCCGTTAGGTACAAGTTCAATAGAACCACCTCCTTCCTCGGGACACAAATCGATACTGAAATGCGAAATAATGTTTAAATTGACATTTAAATTGTCATATAGAGGATTTAAATCAAATAAAAATGTTGGAATTCTCAAATATATTGAAAATTAAGCATTTTGAAAGAAAATGTTCATATCAAAATTTCTCAATAATTGTACAAAATAAAAATATAATATATATAACATTTATTTTATAAAGAGTATTCGTTTTTTTAAATGTAATATCATAAGCAATATTTTTTTCAACAGAATCATAATATTTTTCTGTAAATTTCAATTTTCGTTTTTGCTTCTTATATAGTCATTCTGTATATAAAAGTATTAAAGTTATAAAAATAAGAAATACAAAAGTAATACAAGAAAACTTGTAATTGTACAAGCATATGTACGTCATGCGCATACACATAATGGGCAATAGCAGATTTTTTAAAAACCTCAATTACAATTTTTTATTTTATTTTAATCGATTTTATTTTCATTATTTTTTTCATTATTTTCACGAAAATATTCAAGGAAAAAATCAAATCATTTGTATGATCAAATTAAAAACCTAATTTGTGAAATTATTTTAGAAAAAAGAATAGACACAGATTTTTGTTTAGATGTCATTTTACTAATATATTTGAGATATAAAAAATTTATTAAAAATATAGAAGTTTTCTATATAATTTCATAGTCAAAAATTTTGAATGTCTCGCGTCTTCACTACAATTCTATAACTTCTAAGGAAGAAATCTGCTATTGTCTAGCTAGATCTAGTTTTCCTTAGAATATTGTTCTATAAATTGAACCTAAATCAGATTAGAAAAATGTTATAAAATAGGATATATTAAGAAACATAAACGTAACTCTAATTTTACATAGCGTTAGTTATGTTACTATCATTTTATAACATTTTTCTAATAGTCTATTTTAAGTTTAAACTGCAAAGTGTTCTCAGGTAAACTAGATAAAAAAATAACAGATTGCTTCTCTAGAAGTCATGAAATCAGCAAAACGCGAGACACTTGAAATTTTTGAGCCTATTTTCAACGACAGAAATTTATTTTTAATAAGTAATTCAAATTTTGTATTAAAAATTAATTTCCTACATTTTTTTATCTTAAATATGATAGTAAATAATATTCAAACAGAGAACTGTATCCATTTATTTCTTTGCCTAAAATAAATTCACACTAATATTGCCTTCAATTTGATACAAACTTCTTGTCCTTCCTTAAAATAAAGTCATCCAGAAAAAAATATTTGAGATATTTCATGTTTAAAAATATTTTGTTATGTATACATTTTGAAATATGTCAAATTAAAGTATAAAATATCTCATAAAATATATCTATTATAGATTTTTTTATAACTTTAACTTTTACATAATAATAAATAACGAAAAAAATCGATTTAAATAAGAAAATTGATATAATTTTGTAAAAAAAAAACTTATTTTCAAATTCCGATTTCACAATAAAATATATTAACAGTATGATTCTTAATACTATGGAACTTTAATCAGACTTTTTATTCTCATGATGTGTATATATATAGAGAATAGAAACAAAGTATGTGTGCAAGCGCGAGCGCATACATTACACTTATTTGTGTACGCATATAAATATCCTAACAAAAATATTTAAAGAGACAAAAAAAAAATAAAGCGAGTAAAAAGTTATACCTGAATGTAAGATCCAATGCAGAAAACAAGCTGTTACTGTCTTTCGTTTCAGCATCGATAACCAATTGTCGCAAGCTCTCGTAAATGACGGAATCGAAAAATGCAAGATCATGGAAACGTATAGGCCTTCCTAAGATGTATTTTATGACGTGACGGTTTAAAAATAGAGGACAAAGCTCGTTTTGTAAGAGGCACAGCCCTATAAGTCTGGAAACAATACACAAGATACAGATTTCGAGTTTAATTTTTACTAACTTACCAAGTATACATGTACGTAAGTTACATAGAAATCACGACTGAGACAGTTTAAACGTACCTGCCTACGTTCCTGAATGCATTCATTCGTTCGTAGCTGCCTCTGCCTTGTCTCGGCGTATAAAAGCCGCGTTTGCCAGGGGAATAGAAGAGCGGAGCATTGTCCTCCGTATCGTCCAGAATGCTGTTTTCCATTTTCTTCTTACTTGCTGCGCATCGTTCGGTTAAGCTAAATACATCGAGATCGAGCATTTCGCTGGTCAAATCTTGAGTGTGACTGTGAATCAATTCGAATGCTTCGTCAACCTTCTGTCGGAGAGCATCTTCCGAAGCCAGCAACATCAGCAACTGAGCTGGCGACAGTTCCAGCAACATACCAGTTATTTTTTCAGCCAACGCTGGTCGTAAAGCATGTACCTAAAAGCAAGCAGTAATTACACATACAATACAAAAAAAAAAACGTCGAAATAAGTCCACTTTTCAATACTTTATCAGAATAAATATAAATTTGAAATATTTTAACCAGTGTCGTACGCAAACCTTGGGATACAATCTGTCGCCAAGTTGTTGCTGATGCATGGTTAAATGATCGTTATTCGGATGGTTAATCGGCAAGGGATGAGTGCTGGACGAGCTACCAGGTGTCGAGCTATTATTCCCCTCGATCGCATTCGATGGATGAAAGGAACGGGCGTCGAAGGATAAAGCGCGACGGGTCTCGCGACATTTTCCAGAAGAACGTGTATTCTGAAATCAAAATAAAAAACATGACCATGTCCATGTGCCGTGAGATCAAGCGACAAAAATATATATAAATCGCGCATCGGCTCGCCAACGTACTTGTCGTCTAAGATCACGGTCACGGTCTCTGCTTTTCAATTTCTGCAAAACATTGTACTGCGTATACTTCGACCCCACTTGTGCCGCTTCGAGATTCGGGAGTTTTTCATTTGCGAGCAATGCCTAAAAATAATAATAAATAAGTATAAATGCAATCGTTTTCACAAACAAATCAACCTGACACGTTAATTCTATGTTGTTTGACTTTATTATACGAACTTCGGCGATTGCGGTGTAAAAGCTTCGCGTAACGCCAGCTCCTTCGCCAGGTTCGTCCTTGAAAAAGACTTTGACTCGATTCACTGCCAGAGGTGGAGTATTCGACGCTCTTCTATTATATATATTATACTGCGTATTTAACTCTTTCATCGTCTGCACTAATAACTGTGTTCTGTCTCGTTCCACCTGTCAGTCAATTATGTGGTTCAGCAGTTTTACTTGAAGCTTAATATGATATATATTCGTCAGGATTGGGTAAATTAACTTTTTTTTAAGTTTTTTAAGTTAAAATTAACAGTCTTAAAAATTTAACTTAGTTAAGATATAAGTTAGTCCATAATAAAATTAATTAAATTAAAACTTAAGTTAATGAAAAAAAGTAATTGAAAGTTAAAGTTAAATTTTTTCATTTTATAATTTTAGGATGTCTAAATAAAGTATATATTTGTTATACTTATTTCTGTCGAGCCGCGGAAAGAGGACCGATTTCAAAGGACTTCTTCCGACGTGATTTAATGCATACAAGATCCGCGAACAGTGATTTCTTTCCACGGTCAGACTATATTTATTATAGTATAACAATTGTCTTGATGTGCGTTCTCAAATTTGAGTTTGGATATACCAACACAGATATGTATTTTATTTTGGGTTTACAAGCATTAAAAATGTAACTTCAAGAAAGTTAGATCAAAAGTTAATAGTTACCGATAAAATATAACTAAATTAAGTTAAAAGTTAAGAGTCTAAAATATAATCAAGTTAAAATTATTTAACTTTTTAACTTAACTTTTATCTTTTTAACTAGGCATTACCCAACCCTGATATTCGTGGACGTTTATACATTATCATCGTAATATTCTTTAGAGTTTATGAGTGAGTGAGTGAGTTGTTCTTTTATACACTACCTTTATAGTGATATCTTTTTGTTGCGAATTTCTAAGTTTTTCCATATCTCTGCGAAATTTAGCTTCCTTCACAGGAAATCCTCCTAATTCAGACACCACGGATCCAGCTTCTAAACCTACATCTTCCATAAAAACCCGTCCAAACAAGTCCAACGATAATCGCCATCGTCCTAGCAAAATATTATGAGAGATATTCGTTCCGATCGACGATACCGTTCTGGCGGATTCTACCGGGCTCGTTTCAACAGTTTCGTGAGCAGATATCTCGTGGCTCGTGGCAGCCGGATCAACTTCCTCGGCCATGTTTTGGCTTTCGACGGTTGGAACTACCAATATCTCAGGAGCCCCAACTTTATTCGTGTTTGACTCCTTTAGAGAATAAATTGACATTACAAAGTGATAAATAGATTCAATATTAACATTCAATATTTTCCCAGTATATCCAAAGTGATATTGTGACGCTTACCGACATCGTGCCAGCTCTAACTATAACGCTTCTATTATTTTTGCATATGTCTTTGCCTTTGGTGCTCGTTGCTGCATCACTTTGATTATTTGTAGACACTATAATCGGTGCTCTGTCGATGACTTGTTCAGTTACGAGAGATGAGTGCCCTTCGTTAGCATGATTAGATGATTTTAATTTCTCCTGAAACACGAGTTAATAATTCATGCCAATTCCTTAACGTGTCGTTGGCGAAAAATTGCAGCAGCTCGTGTGAGAACGTAATTTTGAGGGACCGTCCATATATCACGTAAGCATATTTTTGGCCATTTTTGATCTCTCCCATTCCCCATGTAAGCAAATGTCAGAATTTCTGAACCCCTCCCCCTCCCCTAATTACGTAAGATTTTCCTGATTATGCTCGATGTAAAGTTAATACTTGGCGGGAGCCGCTACCGCGTCTCCAGATATTGCTCGTTTTTCATGACAGTAGCAGACATGAAAAATCTTACGTAAAGATATGTAAGACCCCCCCCCCTCATGTAATTATTTGTCAAAATTTGACTCGACCCCCCCCCCAGTCATGCTTACGTAATATATGGACGGTCCCTTATTACAGAAAGAAAACATGTATTACCGCGTATTTGACAGAACTCGAATTAAGGTCCCCAGCAGACATGGAATTTCTTCTCGATTCTAAGTTAGAATTAGAAAATGGTCCTTGCACAACTTGACTGAACGTCGGAGTCGTCGAATTATTTTGACCGTCCATACCGCGCGCAGAGAGACCTAATCTCGTTGGCAAACCTTCCAAAGGGTTGTGACTACTGCATCCACCTGCATTAGAACAAGTTGGTTGTCTCGGAATACCAAATAGATCTTCACGTCTCGAGTGTGGCTGTAATAAATGTGGCTGATCAGCTAACGGCAACGCTTCACTCATTACGGTATCAAACGGATCTAGAGGCGGGCAACCGAGGCATAAGGTAGAATCTGATCTCTGCAAGAAAGGATGTTTTCTCCCTTTCGGCGTCGAACTACTGTGATTTCCAGATCCACATATAGGTACTTGAAGTAAATCTGGATAATCTACGGAATCAGTTTCCATGGCAGTTGGTACTGGCGAGTTATATTCCTCACTTTCATCATTGTCATTCTCATCCTAATAAAATTTAATGCAATTACGTCGAGTGTAATCTCTATTGCTTTCAGTACTCGGAAAAAAAAAAAAAAAATCTTGTACCAATCATGTCACAAAAAAAGAGAACTACGTTTACAGTATCAAAATAGAAATTCATATCAAATATATCGACTTCAATTTCTACTTTGCGATATTTTGTTTAAAAAAGTGGTATGCGTATTCATATAAAGCGATTAAATTTTACAAACCTGGTCGTTCCAACTAGAATAACTGGACGACTCCTTTTGAGCCTCGCTTCTGGAAGCGAGTGGTTCCGAAAGAGAACGCATATAATAAACAAGTGCATCGAATACGTAAGCAACATGTCTTAAAGCAGAAACGTCCAAAACTGGCAAACTATCTCTGTGCTCGCTATTGTGGGCACGCATTAAAGATAGACAATATGATAAGAATTCACGTCTCGCCGAGTGTGCATCGCCACCTGAAACATAATTATCGTTATTATCGAATTACTTTTCATAAATTTTTTGTAAGACCAAAGAACGATAAAATAAACCAATTTCAGTTTAAACAGTGTCACATAAATTATACATGTAATCTTACAGTTTTTGAGTCGCTAAAATACGATCGAATAACCGATAAAGTTTTGTTTGTTCAAAATAGGAAAGTAATCAAAATATGTTTTTAAAAGAATTGAAATAAGTCTTTTTTTCATAGCGATATTTTGTTTCAATTATTTAATTATTTAATAAATAAGTATACTTAATATCATTGTATACTATAATTTAGTATCAGCGATTCAGAAACTTAAGTGTACAATTTACATTATTTACTTTTCAGGTCGAAATCAGCTTATCCATCCTTTTGACTATTTTATTATAATTAACAATGTGTGTAAAGCTTTGTTCAGACAAGAAACATTCTTGTCAATTGTAGATGACAAAAATGTAGAAAACAAATGTGGGTGACAAAATTTTAGTAATTTTTTTGTGTATAATTGCATTTTAAAGTAATCGGCGTGTGCAATTGATTGTAGCCGAAATGTATAATTTAAAAAAATATTGGGCATCAATATCTAGCCACGATCGACAGTGACACTTTCCTCATACTTATTTGAAAAATTTCAGTAACTACTATTTTCACTACTTGAGATTTTTATTTAATTCGATGTAATACTTATATTCTCAACAAGTTTAATGGAAATATATTAGACAATAGTATAAGCTACTGTTTGTTGTTGAATTTTTTAAATGTTAGTAATATTAACTTCATACTAAAATGGCGAATGATAACGATCTTAATTTTTTCTACTTGTGCAACAGGTGAGTAAATTTCTTTAGAAAGATTTTGTGTTTGATTTAATCAGTTTAAAAAATATGAAAAAAATGCAATATAAAATATTGTATTTTGTTAGATAAACTAGTTGAGAAACAATGGTGTTTATAAATATGTGGGACTCTATAGAAATAGAAATATAATACTATAAAGATTTAGCTTCATAAAGCTTTACAAATTTTATGCTAACACACTTTGTTCACTCCATTATAAAAATAATTTTATAAAAGAATAGAGTCTTAAACAGGTCAGCATTTATTCAACATATGACGAAATGATCGATAGACTGTGTCAATAAATTTCACGTGCATTTGTATGTCGATGACACCAATCAAAAATACAAAACTTATAGACAATATTGTCATTGACTCGACGTCACCCACATTAAATTACTTTCAAAATTTGTCGATGACAATGTGTACAATGTTATCCGGCAAAATGTATCATCGACAAATGTATCCTGCAATTTCGTGAATACAAAATTGAGACACTGGCGAAACATGTTTTCGATAATATTTCTTTTAATCTGAACAAAACTTAAAAGAAAACAAGAGATTTGTATGGTCAAATTAAAAAAGTTTGCGAATTTACTTCAGGAAAGGAATAAACGGATATAGAGTTCCATATTTAGGTATTACTATAGATGTTACTACTATATTTAAGATGTAGAAAATTAATTCGTAATACAAAATCTATTTAAAATATAAATTTTAAATATAATGTTATTATAAATGTTTTTTTGTCATTCATCAAACCCGATACACACGAAAATTTTAAGTGCTTCGCGCTTCACTATAATTTCGTGATTTTTAAAAAAGTTTCAATTTGCTTCAATTTTGATTCAATTTTCCACAGTGTTCTACACACTTTAGTTTACAATTTAAATCTGAAAAACACAAAAAAAAATGGTTATTACAAAGTGGAAACAACATAAATCTTTAATTTTTGCGTAAATATTGATGTTATTTACATTGTAAACTTATTATTACTATTTTGTAATAACATTTTTCTAATAATCTATTTTAGGTTCAATCTGTAGTGTCCGGAGAAAAACTAGATCAGAAAATAATAGTTATTGTTTCTTTAGAAGTCACGCAATCGTGGCAAAACTTTAAATTTTTTAGCTTGTCTTCAATGACAAACTTTATATTTTTAAATTTTGTATTACAAATTAATTTTCTACATATCAAATACAGCAATAAATGACACTTAAACAGAATGCCCATTTATTCTTTTCTTTGAAATTAAATTATAAATTTTGCTTTAAATGGCCTACACTTTAATGTCTCCACCTAAATATTTTCCTATGCCTTTTACAAAAAAATGTTTCAGACAAAAGTGGTATGGTTTGAAGAACAATACTAAATTAATTTAAAAAAAAATCAGTTTCAAAATTATATGAGTCAGTTTTTTTTAAATGGAATTATATGATTTTTTAACATAATATAAAATTCTTCTAACTATTCTACATACAAAAGTATTAAAGTTTTCAAAAAATCAATAGTTTATTCTGGCATATTTTCATATAAAGTATAAAATATCTCGTAAACTATTAATTTTTTGATAGTCGTACATTGATACTTTTATGCACAGAATAGATAAATTAATCGTAAGAAAAACACACTGTTGTTTTTCAAAAGTTATGCACAATTTACAATATACAGGATAAACAGACATTCGTTTAAATTAAAATCATCTAATTTTTAAAGTTTTTACAATAATAAAATGTTTTTAAAAATTATTTTAAAATGAAATTCAGATATAGCTAAAAACGAACTTTATAAACCCTCCCCTTTCACCTCCACTTTGACCATACAAATCTCTTGTTCTATATATATAGTATTACATATTTTAGAATGTCAAAAATATCGTGATATTCGATATAAAAATATAAAGAATTTTTAAAATGTAATAGATTAAAATATAAACCTTCGCGCTCTCTGCTGCTTCTCGGAGGCTCGCCAACGCCTGCAAAACCAACGGTGAGTCGTGTTGAAGCTTGAGGAGTGGAGATATTCGAGCTCGTAGCAATACCACTGCGAGGATTCCGACCTGTATTTCCTTGCAGAGTCAGCGAAAGGGCGGCTGTGTTTAGCAGACCACTAAAATTACCGCCCGACAGAGATGGAGCGTTATTGAGAGGATGTTCAGGGTGGGTCGGGTCTGCGCTACGCGTCAGAGATACTCCGAATCTTAGCTGCGCTTCTGTAGCGTCCATCACCGTGAGCAACCAATCCCACGTAGGCTTCAGGTGTGCTTCCAAATACGACTGCGACAGAAAACACAATTTTATAATTTCGTAAGCTTGTAAAAGCAATCTTGCGAAAGCGTACAAAATTTGAGACAACGGGTTTGCATACCTGCAAACTTAGAGCGTCTTGAAAAGTGATTTCCATCAAGCGCGGTAAGGCAGGTGCTAAATTCTTATAATCTTGCATCATGACCAACAGATCGGCGATCTGTCGAATGACGATTCCGAAGGCTCGTGCCAGGCAACTGGCGGTGGTACCCATGGTTATGGGCTCCTGCGCGGTCGCGACGGCCGACGTGGCAGTGGTGCGTCTCAAAGATGCGGGGTCGATAAACACCAGGTTGCTTCCGCCCGTCACACGCAATCCTGCGGTGCGTGTATTCGATTCGCGATTGCGTATCGCCCACTGCATGTACACAGGTGCAAGGTTGTTACGATGCAGATGTCCGGAGGACCCACTGAAATGAATAAGCAATGTTACATCCCTCGAGTATCCTATGGATACTGTTTGCTCAAATCTTGCAAAAAAAAAAAAAAAAAACATTCCCTGAGAATTCTCGAACCTTTCAGACACATTTATTCAAAATTCTAGGTAAGATTAGAGAATTTTTGAATGCAATTTTGAAATTAATTTAGAGTACAAGCAGCGCGAATAAATAAATATTGTACAAAATTAATCGAAGACAGGACTCATACGAGACTATATTTATCCTTTTCTGGATAGATATGGACAATTGGCGCTTGAAACTTATAGGATAGTATAATAAAATCTGACTACAGCATATAGTAACAGCAAGTACTATACTCCCTTCTGTTGTGTATTGTCTTCTACTGTCACTATTTTTTTGTTGTTGTAAAAACTCGCGAGTCACAAATGAGTGTCTATGAATGATGTGCATGCGGACATTTATTGCTAACTGATTTTTGATATTTTGCATTATCAAGAAAATCAAGAAAAAATAAAACTTTTTTTTTTCAGAAAAAGAAAAATAAAATTTTAAAAATTACCCTGAGTATCAAAAATTCCACCCTTAAAAATGTTTGATTTTGAAGAGAAAAAAATTCTAAAAATCCAAATATTCCAAGTTTTTCCACTAAAAGCTCTGAAATTTCATGTCTAGCAAGTGAATATTCTCTCTTTCGCTCTGATAATCGTCTTCATTACAGTGATAAAATGGAGAAGACAAAAAAAAATTAAAATGATACGGAGAAAAAAAAATGGAAATAGTTTACCTTCTACGCTCTAATTGTTCATCACCGATTTGGAATTCCTCATTGTCTTGCTCATCTGTTTCCCCCGCTTCGCTCTCGTCGTCTTCCTGTTGGCTCGATTCTCCCGACTCATCCTCGGGAAACAGTAATATCGATCCCATTCCACCGTCGGAACCCGCAGTAGCGCCTGTTTGGACGCTACGTTGCGCCGACGCCGCATCTTGATTACTGTGATTGTCATCTGAATCGGATTCAGTCTCTGCTTCCGCCAAGAGGTCCAATTCCGTGTCCGATTCGCCGTCTCCCGCTTGCTCCTCGCCGACACCACCGGCGTTCGAATCGATCTCGCCGAGTGGCTGACTGGTAGCAGTTCCGGAAACCCCTGATTCCTCGTGTTCACTCATATCGCCATCCATGTCCATGGGAACTTCTACTTAAGTATTTGTGTACAGCCAAAAACATGTATTGTTATGTGTACAAATTGGTCTATTAGAAAAACTCGAATTCCGATATATTTTTCCATACCTTCTCCACCTTCTGCTTCGTCTACTGCAGAAACGTCACCCCTCGATATAGTTATATTATTGTTTCCTTGTTGCGTTTGTAGCGCTGCGTCCAGCGTCTGCGAACTGACGCCACTGTGAGGTATCAAAGGCTCTATAGAGAATAATTCCTCGGATCCGTTGATCACTTCGATGGCAGAACTCGTTAACGTGAACGGCGCGGTTGGACGTGCTACGCCCAATCTGACTGGTGCGATTAATGAATCCGCTGTCTCACACAATTCTTCTACAGCTAATTTGATTAGTGCTTGGAAAACCTTTCGACACTTCATTAAAGGCTGCGAGGCTTGACTCGTGCTGGAAATGTGAAAAATTAATTAAAATCTTTCTCTCACTTAACAAAGATGTTATTAAAAAAAACTTCATCCAATTGAGGCGATGCTGGCGAAGGTCAGAATCACCGACATTACAATTATATGAATATCTTTCTATCTTCGAATTGACTAAACGGAATTGAAAATCCTTTCACAGAATTGAAACAGACATAAAATGTAGCGATGGGACGAAGGAATTTGTAGTAGAAATGAAAAAAATTAAAAAATTACTTTCTTCTTTTTCGTTTTTACTACAAATTCCTTTGTCCCACTATTATATTTCATGTCTATTTCAATCCTATGAAAGAATTTTCAATTCCGTTCACTCAATTCGGAGATATTCATACAACTGTAATGTCGGTAATTCCGACTTTCCTGCATCGCCTTAATGGATATACGTATTGTTCATCTAAAGAATAACGTTGATTGAGTAGATTTTATTCCATCTTCTTTGTTAATTATCGAAGAAGAAAATATTTCAGAGTTTTTAAATTGTTTTTCATGAAGGAATAACGCTGTGTAATTAGCGCCCGCATTATGAAAATCACCTTGTATCTAGCAAAACATGGAAACGTGGAATTTCTTTTACCTTCGCCTTTTTGTCGTGTTTGGTGCCATTTCTATAGTAAAGATGACAAATATGCGCGCGACGGATCTTACGAAGCGACGTGCTACATTATTTGCTTCTTCTTGTCGTCCAGGCACAGACGCGTTTTGCAATTCTCTAATCAATGTGGTGAGCAACGTATCGAGCATCTATAAATATTGCATAAAATTCGTTGGCGTATAATATACATAAAGAAAAACTGTATATATGCGTTACTAGATTCCACTATACATATTATTCCACTTACTTCGGCGCTACATTTAACTAGCAAGGAATGCGTAAATTTATCCAATAACGCAGTGCCACTTTGCCGACATAACTGTCCTTGATTACCGAATAACTGATCGATACCATTCTCAGAAACACCTGACATGATCATACATTGAACAGCTGGCCAATCATTCAACAATCTTTCGAGCGCCTTTCGACTGAACCGGGGAGGCTCCAAATCATGATCTGGCATGTCCGAATCCGCACCCAAACCTGTGACAAGAACTACATACTTTCAGATAATTATGTCAATTTATATATGAATATATAAATATAATAATGTAAAAAGATATACTGTTTACTATAAAACAAGGTTTTGTTAAGGAAAATTAAGAAAATAAAAAGTGTCTACATAAAATCACGCATTTTTATAATTAAAATATAAAGGCTGTAGAGTACACATACCATCCGAAGTAGGCGCTTTACGACTAGCCGAAGTTGATCGTTGTCTAGGTGCTGATCTAAATTGACGCTGTTCGACTAATTGCCTTCCAACTGTTTGCACCAAGAACAACAAGATGCTTTCACCTCTGAAGAAGCATACGTAAAATAAATGTTATTCAAAAAAATATTCTTGTTACATATTTGTGATATAATAGTTATGCGTAATTTATACAAATTACCGTGAATTGATTTTCGTAGCCAGATCGGTGCTAATTACAAGACGACAAAGCAAGTCGTATCTCGCGCCTTGATGACCGGCAATGAGCGCACGACACTTACACTTTTCCCAACAATCACAATATGCTGTGGGCGAGGTTCTTTTGAGCTTGCAATCATGACCTCTGTGACAGACACGAGCGCATTCAGTGCAGCAACACAAAGATCCCGTTAAACCGCATGTTCTGCATTCGAAAATATCCTTAAAATAAAAAAAAATTAGTTTAAAAGATTTCTAGCATATAATACATTTTTTATACATATAAATTACATATGTTCAATACCTGATTAATATGCTCTGCTCCAGTCCATGTAAAACTACATGTATCGTTGCAACAAGTAACAAACAATGGAGATAGATCTGGACTGGCATCAGCTGGCAATATCATGGCTGAAATGTCTTTAGAATCTTTGCCAACTCTGTGTATATTATCCAATAAAATAAGAGCTGCATGATATGCACGAACGGATACAGCGAGCATAAGCGGCGTTTGCCCTTGAGCATCCCTTTTTACATGTAAAAAAAAAAAAAGATACAAAAGAATTAATTTGACAGAAAATGTCAATATTAAAGAAGTTAATGTATCAACAAATATATTTGTTGTATTCTTGCTTTAGAATTGTATTCAAATCATACTTTGCCGTTAGTAATTCTCTTAAGTGGGGCGACAAGATATTATTTTCGCACATGTATTTCAATATAAGCAATGCATTATGTCGTCTTTCAACGGAATCTATAATGTATGTATTATTAGATGTAGCTCCAACACCTGAAATAATAATTAAAAAAGAACAATCTTTTATATCTCACACACACTCACTTACATACATATACAAGTGAATTCAAACTTGTGTTGTAATACAAGCACAAGAGATCTCACTTACCAGACTTATTCATCATTGATATACTAGCAGCACCTATACTTAATAAACTATCCTCCTCTCCAGATGTATTATCAAATGCTTCTGGTGGCCAACTTAATGTCGGGATTGGCTCTTCAATAGGTGCGGAAGTCCCATCTACTGTATTTGACACTAACTCACGTTCGATAACTTTAGAACAAATTAAGTATAGAAATATTAATCAAATGCATGTAATATATTAAAACAAAATTAACCCTCAGTTCACACACTATATTTTAGTCACATTGTACCCACGCTGAGTTAGCGTAACCCAGGCATCTTGTTTGGCTTGTATCTCGAGCTGTACTGTATAGATTAAAACAATTTTTTTTTCAATCGATCCGCCAAAGATCGAAGAATACAAAAACGTATATTAGATTTTCGAGAATATTTTTGCAACAAATATTTTTATGAAAAAGAAGTGGACAATTTTAAAAATTGATTTTTAATCGACCTGGGTTATGCTAACCAGTGTGAACTGAGGATTAAATAGAGAAACGCCTTCAACAGTCGAGACAACTGGATCTTGGTGGTTAATAATATAATATGTAAACTTTAAATACATTTTTCAGTTATTTAAACTGTCCGAATGTCGGACTTGCAACGCAATCATAAACTAAAGCTAGAATAGTAAGATCATAAATTAAATTGATCTTCAATTTAATAATAATGATGTTAACAAGCATCTTAAAATATTGCAAAGTTTGTAAGTAAAAAAATCGAACTTTCTTTGAGAAAAAAAATAATAAAATTACTTTTACAGTAGATTAATTATTAAATTCCGTTTTAAGTAAAGTCCAAAAATGCCAAAATAAAAATATATAGCAAAACCTTTACAATGATGTGTATAATACTTATCTATCCAATTGCCATTAGGCATCTACCGATTTGCCATTAGGCACAGCAGTATATTTTCCTATCATTTGAATGACAAAATATTTTTGGCTATTATTAAAAAATTTTCTTACATGTTTATTCAAATTAATGTAAAAAAATATGTAAAATCTACTTATAAAAAAAACTTGATTTATTTTTAAAATTTACAATAAAAAAATTGACTGAGTTTTAAAAAAGTCCCAGATTGCCAAAGATTTATTGTTAAAACAAAATGTTAGAATTTTCTCAACCTCTTTACAATTATAAATTGCTGCTTTAAATATGTTACCTTGTTCAGTTTCTTTGTTAGAAGTTGGTGAACACATGTTGACACAAGCATGAAGTATATTTCGGTTGCCATCGCAGCGTTCCTTCAATATCATTTGAATTTGTGAACTTGCACTTGCATACGTCAAATTGTTCTCTATAAACCAGAAAAACGCATTATGCATATGTATTTTTGTGAAATTATTATACACAATGTAAAAAGTAAAAAAAGTTACGTTTTTATATATCTATTACACTCACTTAGATCTTGCTCTAAATTACAAAATACTTGTTTCACACTCTCATAATCACATCGCAATATACGCGGCATGAGCAAAAGGTTGTCGAATGCTAATGCAATAACTGCAACTTGATTCTTTAAATTGGTCGAATTGGAACAACTGGGAATAGGAATAGTTGCTGCGCCAATACAATTTACCGGGGCCAGATCCAACCAGTTTGGATCGCGTATAGCATCGGCACAATCTTTCGCGATTGGATAAATGGTATTATTACCATCTCGTAAAATCATAGAACACTCAATATTCTAAAATACAAGGGAAAAAAAAAGATAAAATTGCTTTCAAAAACTTACTTACATTTTATTTGTAAATATTGTTATCGATAAAACATACCTCTCCTGCGCTTGTAAGATTGATATTTTGAGGTTGCAACCCCAAAAATGATGAAATATCAGATGGAATATAACAATCTTGAACATATCTTCCTGTACTTAGATTGTATACAACATAACTTAATTTACTTCCACTTTTCAATATAGCATGAATACCTTAATAAACATGGAAATAAAATCTTTCATTAATATAAGAACATACTTTTCATTAATTAATAATTTGCTTTTATCTTCAGAATAAGATTTTGTGAGATGTAAAGACCATCACATGGAATTCTTCAAAAGAAAATCCCTTGTCCGTCAGTAGATATAGTTAAAAGACTATCATTTGAACCTTCCACTATATTGACCCTTCTAGGCGTTCTTTGAAAACAGTCCGGAGCTCGTGGATTCAATGATGATTTAATTACCTATAAATATGTAAATAATATTTCAAATACTTAGTCATACAATATGTTACATATAATAAATACAGAATAACCATTACCTGTAGCTCATCTTTACGTAAAAGTCTACAATCCGCTAATAATTTCATTGGCTCTTCTGTTGTAAGATCTTTAAAATCTGACGTACTAAAATCTTTCTCTTTAATTTCCTTTTCCTTTTCTTTTGAATCCTTTGAAAAAAACTTGACTGCGACGTAGCAACCATCAACTTTTATAACTTTCCCTATCAACAATAAACAAACAATAACAATAACAATAACAAAACAATTTTATCTTACATGACAGTAGTTATCTATAGAATCTTCTTTCAGCGCATTCTAAAAGATATTTTACTAATAGATATAAATAAATAATCGTACCAATAGGTACAGTTTTCACATCCTCAACAAAAACAACGTCTTTTAATTGCCAATCTTCTTCGTCCTTTCTATCGGATTCCCCCCCTTCACTTCGAGGTGCCATACGTTTCTGCCGTTCTAAAATTAAATTTTTTTCATGTAAAGATTTTTATTGCTAAGCATGTCAAACTAAATACTTCAATGATGCATCTTTTTTTCTTGTAACATTTAAATAAGCCTCATGTATCTTACTATGACTTGTTGTAATACTGCCAGTATCGCTACAAGTACTCGAAGCTGGAGATGGCGGAGGGGGCATGTCAAGTCTGTCAGCCGTTTCCTTGTGATTCGGTTTGTTTACAACTCCTGTATTTCCATTTCCGTTAGATTCACGCTTATCAGCGTTTGCATTAGACACATGCAGACCAGCGGGCAATATTTTGAATCTGCAAGTGGCATCCACATTCCACGCTGCTGATAACAATTGTCCCACTTTCGGTACACCGTTAGCTATCGTAAATCCTTAAAAATAAAAATTATATACATTCAAAATTGAGTAATACAATTGTTTCAGATTATATGATTATGTTTACAGCTTGTAAAAGATACAAGATATATCGATGTCTTACCGATAGCTCCCGGTTGATAAACCGGACTATTTTTCATACAGACATGTGTTCCGTAACTAATGTCACTTGATAATACAGTAGACGGCCTATGCTTGCGTGATTTAGCTTTATATTTTTCCCATAATTTCTTACGTTGTGCAAACGGTAAAACACCCCTGAAAAATATAAATGTTGAAAAATCTTATGATAAATGCAATCTTTTTTTTTCGTATATAAATTATATAATAAATTAAAACTAAACAATTCATACCACCAATATAATGTTCCACTTTCGAGTCTTGCAACAGTGTATAAAGCACACGTATGAAGTGATACAATTTTATCCAATGTAAATTCGGTGAAAGCTTGCGCTGGATGTTCAAGGCGGGAAGCAACATGTCCTAAAAGTTCATCAAGCCAAGTCGCTACCTTTCCACTTTCTGTGCTAACGGAACATCGAATTGCCGTAGCAGATATATTGATTATCTTTTCCATCAACAATGCCAAAGGAATGGTTTTTGGATGATGTACATTCGGATTCTGTAAAAATTGGAAAAGACGAAATCATACAAACGTATAATATGTAAATATGCACGCACGCACGCACACACAAAATCGACAAATATCACGTTTGCATAAGTACTTCTGTATTTTTATATGGTTCTGGTTCCGTCCATTTCCATTGGTATAACTGTCCTGATGCGGAAATGGCAATTAGTTCACTGTACAGCGATGCAATTTGTACAAAGCGAGGTACTGAATCACTACTGCGATCGTGCCACCATTCTAATTCTTCGGATATCCATAGCGGACTCTGCGAGGCCATTTCTTTTTTCTTGTTATCTGGAATATAATAAATGAAAGAATATTGAAAGCTACAATCCCCTATTCAATGGAATATGTTGGAATTTCTTATGTAAAATACCTGAATCCTTTTCCCATGAGTCTTTAAGGGCAGTTTCCAGCCAACGTCGCGGTCCATAATATTGACGATCTCGCCATCTACTAAAACTATCACGATCTCGATCTCTTTCATGAGATGAACGCTCGCTTTCTCTGTCGTTACCTAAGCGGCGCGAAGAACTTCCGCGACTAAAAATAAAATATTAAAAATAATACAAGAAACGTGTGTTTTGTGTGTGTACACACACATATTTCTTACATGTATTTTGTATAAAGTAATATACATATACACATTTTTTTAAAACTTTGCAGGGTATTGATAATACTCACTAAATTCAATAAAAAATGCTTAACATAGATTCACAGTCTAATTTTTTGTAAGTAAATAATTTTCTACTTTGGTCATTCTGATGATTATCTAAAACGTTAGCTCTAACCGTATTATTTTACACCTTTGTATCAAAATTTGATACTTTTTTCAAAAATTTCTAGTTTATTTTAAACTGTTTGGTAAGCATTCTTTAGTTTCATTTATAAGTTAAATAATTTATCAAATACGAAAGTTTATAAAACATCTTTACAAAACAATCCAGAGAAGAAAACTTAAGAGAAAAATGTTTGATTATCGTTTTACGTTTACTCTGCTCAATTAATAATTAATATCTTCCTTTTTATTAGAATATTGTAATATTAGAATAATCATTTATTTTTCATAAATAATAAATAAATGCGGTTAAATAACTTAATTAATGAAACAGAAAATATATAATATATATATATATATATATATATATATATAAACAATATTATTTATTGAAGGAATTGATTTGCAAACCAACATTCATTAAGTATCTATTATATAACTTAGAGATACTATAAACCAGTAAAGTTTTAAACTCTTTTTGAACTACTCTCTTTAACCATGTTTTTTTGTCTTTCTGTATATAATCACTAGTGTATCTGAACTCAGTGCCAAAACTGGTACATGTAGTGGCTTTAGCCCATAAAAACAAGTCAAAAATGCCTAATATATATCCGATTTAAAATGCCTCTGAAGTTACGAGGTATTGAAGTTTTCATGTAAAAACATGAATTTGGCATAGTTCAGAAACACCCCGTATAAAATAAATAAAAAAATTAATTACTGCCTTATCCCAGTGTATCCAAATACATCTTCAGAGAACATAGAGTCAGCATCAATTATAACCGAGTGCTCATTACTAAAACCGCCATCTAATAAAGAGATAAGATCCTCAGGAACATAACTATCCGCTGCATCCTCTGCATCATCGCCTTCCTCATCCTCTCGTGACAAAAGATTGTTTACCGCTAAGTTTACATCTAGATTTGTACGCTACAATATAATTTTATTAATTAATGTATTTTTCTTCATTAATTATTTTACATTCTTTATATTTTCAATATTAATATTATACCTGTAATTCTCTGATAATAAGATTACGACTTTTTCCTTGCAATACAACTTGTGCTTGAGATATTAGATCTTCTGGCACAAATGGTGCCGGCACAGATGCGATAGGACGAGAACTATTGCCACTTCCACCACCCATAATAACTCCAGGTGGTCCTATACGACCACCACTGCTTCCTCCGCCGCTGCTGCCTCCGCGTATTGCGGAGCTGTTACGCATGATTCGCGCACGTGAACGTGACATCCCTGTTCTACTACCGCTACTGCTACTTCCATTTCCATTTGGTGCAGAATTAGAGTTTCCAACATGATTTTTACTTGTACTATAATGAGACAGATATTTTCTGATTATTAAACTATTTTTTCTTAAGCATTGGCTCGTTACTCACTTTCTATTAGGTTCATTTTTACTCAAATCCAATCTATCCGGTAGCACTGTAAATGCAACTCTAGCTACTCTATTGTCATCCGTAAGAAGAGCAATATGGGTTGGTCCAACTACTATGCGCTTTATCGACGCTTTTAAAGAATTAAAAGCTGATGGCGTTACAAATCCATATCTATTTATTTTATCCGCTATTTCCCTCAATCTAAAAAAAAAAAAGAAAAAAAAACGTAAAATATAATACAAATGTTTAGACAAATACCTAATATAATAATCTTTTTGAAATTGAACAAACTAAATGATAACAAGTTACTATCATGACTTATATATAAGAATAAATTCTTTTCAAATACTATTATTGATATAAAATAACTCTTTTATTGGTGACATAAATATCACAAATTTGATATCAAGTTTCAATAACGGCATCTATTGTACGTGATTGTATGATAAAAATATTTGATTCAAGATTATTTCTCAAAAACTAAATTTTGCACTTTGCATAATTCAAGAGAGTTCAAGTATACAAGACTTCAAGTATAATTCATACATATGTATCAAAACAGGATCAATTACTAGAAATCATATTTTTATAGGTTGCCATTAAAATATGGCGAGGATATCAAAAAAGACGTACATTAGTTAGGCGGATACGTGCGTAAGAAGAGGAATGAGAATAATCGTTTTATGTGTAACATGTCGCGACATGTTGCAACACGTTATGGTATGTCGCACCATAAATGAAACGCTTTGAAATAGGAAAAGAATAGTATTTTCTCTCGAGTACGACGCGCAACCTAGAATGCAGTAATGGGAAACCGATAGCACGGATGAAATTTCTCACCTATCATTGAGTTGGTCATCAGTTCCTGGCAAAGGATGTACGATGAGATGAATCGAAGTCATAATGACCTCAACTCACATGTGTCTAACGTCGGATCGTCCTCTTACTGTACACAAAATTTCACTGAACAACGGAACGATAATTCAGCCATGTTTTTGATGAAACATCCAGTTACACACAGTTACATGCCTCGGATGCAACATGGCGTGCTGTTCTTTGCGTTCATAAATGTATCGCCATATGTCTCCGTCATGAATATGAAGATTAGAGAGCCTCATGGGTGCGTTCGGATCATGGATCTAAGAATCTACATGGATGGTGTAGTGCTATCTCTTTCTCGGATAGGACCCCGTCGAGTGTTTTCGTTGTATACCCGATGATTCCCGAAAGATTCGCTAACCTTAAAGTACGGATGTGTGTGTGTGCGCACGTGTGTAAAAATTGGCACAAAACTTCTTAAAAAATTATAAAATGCTGAAAACGCGACGCTCGAAACCTCGAAATGCTCTTTTTAGCGTTTTCGAGTATCTTCGGATCGTTCGGACGTCTTCGGTTAATTTTGTTACCGAGCCGATGGGGTCTTCTTGTAGAAAGAGACGATAAGCGGATAGAAAAGGAGAGCGCTCTCATTCCCCTTACTGCAAATTTGGCAATCTCCTTGCCAATGAATCCACTCTACGCTCCATCCATTGGCCTAGTTTACACCGAGCACTTGATACGCGTATTAAGTACCAAATCCGTATCAAATCGCTTGATACAGTTAGAGTTCTAGATTATCAGAGAAGCGCGACCGGTGTTACGAGTCCTGATTGGACTCGCAAATGGCCAATCATAAGATTGATTTATCGCTATTATAAATGGCTACCGAATAAATCAATCTTATGATTGGTCATTCGACGCCATTTTTAATATTTTCTAGTACTTTTGCGATACTGCCATAAGCCGGTCGTGCTTCTCTGATAATCTAGGACTCTAGATACAGTCAGTGTAAACGTTCGTGAATTATCTTAGTACGGTCTGGTCTGATACTCCTGAATCGCTAGTATCAGACCAAAATAGTACGCGTA